GTGGCGCTGCAGCAATTGGTGTGACGGCTGCGCCACGGAGCACACTACTTCAGGCATGACCTGAGACTCTTGTGTGTGTGCGCGCTGGTTAAAGGGCACCGCACAGACACTCTGCACAACCGCCATTCAGCGTGCATATGCTGGCTTTGCCTCCAGAACGTAAGTTCAAGCTCTGTTTGCGCGAGCACACACACTTATACTGACAAACAACACTTTCGCCCATACTTTGCAAGAAAGGGGGCGACAGAGGACAGAGAGCTCTCCAGCTGATGCTGATGCCAACTAAGCGTTTTAGTCACCCCAAAGACAGCCACCAGTAGGAGTTGTCGTGGAGACGGCATGGTAGGCGCAGAGTTCGTCGACCTCTTCCAGAAGTTCCGAACGTCCGCCTATCTCTCGCTCGAGGACTTTGCAGATCGACTGAACCTCTTCACAGTACTCATCTTTCTCATCTCCTGCCTCTTCATTTCTGCAAAGCAGTATGTATTCAATTCAATCTCCTGTTACACACCTGTGGAACCATCGGGTGGAACATTCAGGAGTTTTGTCTCTGACTTCTGTTGGGTTCATGGAACTATCCCCTTTCGTCCGAATGAAGCCCTACCCACAACGGAAGCTGAATGGAATCAATATGATCAACACCGACGAATAAGTAAGTCACTGCTAAGTTTAAGTATACGATTATGCCGTAAACAATAAAAAATGTCGGATCTCCTGCTAGAGAACACACTTCTGCCTGGCGCCGGACGCCGGACGCTACGGACCAGGGAAGGACCCCCGTAATCATCACTCTTCTAAAACTGGATCCAAAAAAGTGAAAACTGATAATATTCATATAACCATGAGAAATTAAGTGACCTTACTAAATTTGTCGGCGATGAATGCTCCACTTAAGTAGAATGACTCTGTTCGTTGATATAAACCCAGAAGTATGTATCTAAATGCAGACGTCAGCATAAAATTCCGTCAATAAAAACCATGTTTTTTCTACGAAAGCAGAGAGTTCTCTTTATGAGCCTCTTTCTTGCACATCGTCCACAAGTAAAACGCTACTAGTACTAGCATGAGCTTTTTATTGAAAATTTTTTAGGATTATCTGAAAGATTGGAATTACTTATGTAGCTCCCTAGACAGGACGTGAGCCAAGAAAATTATACAGGTGGTTTTGCGCCACTACGGTTAGGTTTAGGGTCAGATTTAAGTTTGCAGTTAAAGTGAAGGTTGAGGTTACGGTTACATTTAGGGTTAAGGTTAGGGATCGCGGTAAGTTTACAGTAGACGCCATGGATCACACAACATTTCGACATAGGCAAAAGATAGATACTCTTTCGCTAATTGGTATTGACTCAGGTTGTGATACTGATTATCGTGTATTCTATTCTGAAGTTTATTCCGTCATGATAGGATGCGGACTTTTTAACGAGCTTCGTTCTGACTACCTGAAAAACGTATCCATTGTAAGGACTGGATACTTAAGTAGTTTGCCTTTTATCATTTATTTTGACTGCCTTTGTAAATTCAAATATATCTTATGGAAAACATGCACTAATAAATTATTTCTTGTACTTGTTTGATAGAAAATTACGCCTTCTTTAAATTTTAATTTGTACTTGTTTGATAGCAAATTACGCGTTCTTTAAATTTTATACTCAAAGAATAGCTTTCGGTTTTAAAAAAAGTTGTTCAATAGCCGAATAATTTTCTAACCTGGTGACTGCTACACTCGAAATCAAGGTTTAAACACTGCGCACTGTGTACATCCTGCTTAAGCAAAAGTAAGTTTTCGCCTACTATTTGAGGAAGAAGTCACATAGTTGTCATGAAATATTGAAATAGATGTAGAAAATATTTTATGCGGTATACGCAGTATTAATAAATTGGCGGATACGATGCATTATGAATAAACACTTCCCAATTGTAAAAAAAGCCCATAATTAGCACTTTTTTATAACCGAAAGCTACCCTTTCTTTGAGTATAAAATTTAAAGAAGATTTTAAAACCGAAAGCTACCCTTTCTTTGAGTATAAAATTTAAAGAACGCGTAATTTGCCTATCACAGAAGTAAAAGAATTAATTGTTTCCTGCATGTTTTCCATAAAATATATTTAAATTTATAAAGGCAGTCAAAATCAAT